TTATATTCCCCAGTTTCAGTGGAGTTGCTGAGGTTGCCTTTAATATAGCATCTCTGGTCTGTCTTCTTGCAAATCTGACCACAATCTCTCCAGGCAGTCTATTTTTTTAATATAATTGGAGTAAGCCCGATAGGCAGTCTCCATATCTTTTACTATTTCATCTGCTGACAAGACTCTTACTGGAGCAATAATCTCGCCCAGAGTCTTCTTCAAATCTTCTTTTTCAGTTTCAGGAATTCCCTGGAATCTGAGAATCATGCTGGTCTTTTCCATTTGCAGCTGTAACAGATGGTTTTCTTGGAGGTTTTGTTTTGTTTCCACATCTCCCATTCTTTTCTTCATTTTCTTGTTTGCGGTGTCCATCTCTGTAATTTTCTCAGTCGCCTGCTTCACTTTCTTCTCTGTTTCTGCCAGCTGGCGCTGCTGTAGAGTGAAATTTTGGTTTAACGAGGTCAGTTGCTGGTTAATACCATCGACTTGCTCCATCATCGGCTTGAGCATATCCGCTAACATCTTCATGACGTCTGCTCCCTCTTCCAGTTTTGGGCTCTGACTGCCTGGTGCTTTCGCTTTTAACTTTCCTTGGGAAGCCGCCATTTTACAGATTTGTTTACAATTTCAAACTACTTTGCAAGGGCTTGAAAAACTCATTGCCTCACTATCGGCACTCACGTAAGTCTCTCAGAATAAACTCGCTGTTTACTTCCTCCCTTCCCCCTTTGATATGTTTATCTGTCCATGCGCTTAAGAGGCGTCCCTCTTTGCGCTTCGCTTTTCCCATGGGGGGGTTTTCATTTTTTTAAAAAACTCTGTTTACTTTGAACTCACGTTCATTGTTGGTCATATCTCTGACCTCGCTCACATCAATCGTTATTCCACTTGATCTCCCGCGCTTGTCCTGGTCGAATTAGCTTGTGCCCGAAGGCCACACAACGGCAGGACTGTCAGGGCAGAGGGAAGCCTCGATTCTCCAGCATCGAGCCGTCGAAGAGGCTAACCCTCAAAAGCCCTCTGGCCTGGAGCCTATCACAAAGGCTCCATGGGGATGCCACTTGAGTTAGCACCCCTCCATGCCGCTGGTGTGCTAATTGCTCCCCCGAGGTCCGGGGAGAGCGACCGCCATTGCCAATTCACAAACCGGAAGTCCTTGAACAAGCATTCTCTATTCTTGGTTGGCTATACTTTCTGAATGTCATACTCCAAAGCCGATGTTGAAACTTAGACATACCAGAACTCAAGTGAAGAAGAGGTCACTGAGTATTGAAAATGCCTATAATCCTTCAAAAGTCTGTAATTTCTATTATTAATACATGTCAGTTCTGGGCTTTAAAGCAACCTGCTCCTTGCAATATGTTGCCATAAATGAATGATCTTAACTGTCCATATTGTAGTACATCCTTTTCTGTTCTAGGCTGCGTCCAGGCAGGCTTGCCTCTCCCTCACCAAGTCTCTTGCTTCTGCCCTTTCTCTCCCCCCCTTATTTCTCATGCCTTTATACCAGCTTATTGTTCCACTCTTTGTACCATGTATTGCATAGTATGGTACTTGAGCAGGTGTGCACTTTTAACGTATAGTGCACATATTCACATGCAGAAGTGTGATTTTAATTATACTGATTGCTCTGACTCTGCAAGCCATTTCAGGAGCTAATTATCAGGCTAATCAAGTGGGGGGGCATAAATGTCAAAATATATTGGGGAAATGAAACAGTTGTAATGGTGGGGTAGGAAAGCTAGTAGGGAACAGAGTGTATCTGGCGTGAAGTGTCAGATTCTCGTGGTAGGCTGGTCCAAGTATTGCTCCATAAAGTGCACAGCTAGTTAAGTACTGAAGCATCATTTGCCTAGTGCATCCTTAGGAATATGCCTCCTTACTGTGTTTTCTGTACTCGGCAGTATTTCAATAATGAAAAGTACGAAGCCCAGCAGTATGATGGGTTTCTGAAGTCCTATGAAAATGCCTCATTGAAGACTACCACTACCCTCGCTCTTCTTAACTTCGGACAAAGCGTTATCTTCAGTGTTGGTTTAACTGCCATCATGGTGCTGGCCAGTCAGGGAATTGTTGCAGGTAACTTGCCATGACTTTAGGCAAAGTCAGACGTCTCATGTGTATGTATTGGTAAAAATAGGGATCTTAAACAGAAGCACTGACATTCTTAATGGCAGTTAGTGCCTTCAATGAATGTCTAACTGTTTCTCTTCCTTTTTCTCCCAAATAATCTCTGCCCACCCCTCTAGAGATAATTCTTTACATTCATTCCTGTTCAAGTTCCATATTTGATTATTTTGTTTTTGAGCAATTTGTTCAATACCATACTACTGGGATTCTCAAATGATACTTGTGGAGTAGAATCTGCCTGTTAGACTTGAAACCCTCATGGGTGGGTTACCTGGCTGATAACTAGTATTTGTGGTAGGGTGGCGGGGATATTGGTTTTTTAAAATGGGGTGCAGTGCTTCTCAAGCAAAGGATTCTGCTGCAACTGTATAGAAATTGACCCAATGGAGAAAAAGTATCCGGATACTTCAAAGATAGTTCTCTAATTCACTGGCATGTATTGCCCCCCTCCCATTTCCTAGTACCTGTTTTCAAATATTGATAAGTGCTATTGTAAACTGACTTCCATTTTAATATGTGAATGCAAACTTCAGTTGAATTAACTATAGTTCATGTTAAAAGTTGCTGCATCTTGAGTCAAGAAGCAAAAGGAACTAAAAGACTGCTGGATCTTAACAAAGAAGGTGTACTCCAATTACCCCTTTTCTTTGTCATTAAGGTAACCTGACAGTTGGTGATCTGGTAATGGTGAATGGATTGTTGTTCCAACTTTCTTTACCCCTTAATTTCTTGGGAACGGTGTACAGAGAGACAAGACAAGCTCTCATAGACATGAATACCTTGTTCACGCTACTTAACATAGACACAAAAATAAAAGTGAGTATTCATGTTTTTTAAAACCTTGTCAAATGTGCTAGAATGAATGAGTAGGTCACCTTGTGGCTATGTTCATGATTCATTTTAGAATTAATTTCTTTCCAAAGAGGAATGTTGTATAAAGAATTGTTGTTCAGTTCAAGAGTAGTTTACTGCACTAGTGTTGCCTAATGTCATATCTGTCCTGGAAAGAAGTTCTTTACAGGCAAAACTGTACTGGTAATTGGTGTATGCATGTGCATGAAGCAATGAAGTCTTTATTGTTTTAATTAATGATGCAGAATTTATTGTGCAAAACGCTGCCTCGAAGCTGACTTTTACAGCAGCAGTTGTTAAGCTTTAGGAAGAGAAGAGATACCTGCGTGGCTGAAATAGCTAGTTTTCTTTTAATTCCTTCAGGCTAAAGCGTTTGCCTGTTCCTTATTTTGAATTAGATCAATTGTTTAGCTTGTTAAGGTCTATGAAAAATACCTTCTGGGCAGTGTGTAAAGCAGCACTCTTCTTTTAATAGGATAAAGAGCTGGCTCCACCCCTGCAGATCTCACCACAGACTGCCACCATCGCCTTTGATAACGTGCATTTTGAATACCTTGAGGGGCAGAAAGTTCTCAGTGGCGTCTCTTTTGAAGTCCCTGCAGGAAGGAAAGTGGCCATTGTAGGAGGCAGTGGGTCAGGGTGGGTAACCAGATGTGCAAAATTCTGCATCATTGATTTTTTCTTTTTTGAAAAAACAAAGTAGTGATAATTTGTGGATTTTTTTTGGAAAAGGAATGCTGAACAAGTAACCTGATTTGAATGTGTGTTTCTTTCTTAGGAAGAGCACAATAATAAGATTATTATTTCGCTTCTATGAACCGCAAAAGGGGGACATCTATGTTGCTGGCCAGAACATACGAAATGTCAGCTTGGAAAGCCTGAGACAGGCTGTAGGAGTTGTACCACAGGTACGGTGCTCCGTGTATCTTGGAACCTATCCTCTCTTTGTAAAATCTTAATGCTGCAGCTACAAATAATGCAGTAATGATCTGAAACCTGCAGAACTTGTGCAGTTTGACAGTGTAGTAGTGTCTGAATATGAATGAGACTGTTCCTATGATAGTCTTCTGGGGTTTTGGTGCTGTATCTTTATATAATCATACTTATTTATGCTGAAATATCACAGCCGTTCCTCCCCCCACCCCACCATTCCTCTGCCTTTCCCAGTTACTTGGGGTGAAATTGTTTGTGCAGTGCCTGTAACCTCTCATTAAAACGTTCTGGAAACAGTTCTTGCCTAAAGGGGCTTAGTGGAAGATTTTAGGAAATTCACTGTTGAATTTGCAAAATCCCTCTGAAGTGTCAGTATGTCGTGATGAAAAGGCAGTGTTTTGCTTGCGTGTGCCCCAGGACGCTGTTCTCTTCCACAAGTCCATCTTCTACAACCTCCTGTATGGCAATACCAGTGCCTCTGCGGAAGAAGTCTATGCTGTGGCTAGGCTGGCAGGCATCCATGATGCTATTCTCCGGATGCCCAACGGGTACAACACACAAGTGGGGGAGCGAGGCCTGAAGCTGTCGGGTAAGTTAATAAATATGCAACGTACCTTTGCGTTTGTGCTCTTCCTGTCTGGCCTCAGGCTTGGTGCTTCGTTTGTACCTCACCCCAGCTATTGGTAATGCAGCTTGAGGTAACGGCTGTCCAGTAGCCTAGAAACTCCAGCAGTAAACCACAGATTGTTTGGAAAACTGTGTTGCTGGGACCAGAAAATGGACATGACCTTTCATGCCTCTTCCTGTAATCTAGTGGGGCTGTGGCTCAGTGACAGAGTATCTGCTTGGCATGCAGAAAGTCCCAGGTTCAGTCCCCAACACCGCCAGTTAAGGATCAGCTAGCAGGTGACAGGAAAGGCCTCAGCCTGACGCTCTGGAGAGCCACTGTCAGTCTAAATAGACAATACTGACCTTGACAGATCAAGGGTCTAAGTTTTCTGAAATTGAAGTTTTCTGCCATTTGTTGCTGTTTTCAGGAATTTTAACTTTGTATTAATTTGTACTTGTATTTGGATTTATTACTATATTTTCTATTTTAACTGTTGTGACCTGCCCTGAGCCCGCTTGTGGGGAGGGCAAAATAATAATAATAATCTCCCCTATATTATAAAAGAGTAAGACGCAAACTTCATGCAATGCGCCCCTACAGTGTATGGACGGCTCGGCTGTCTGTCAGCGGCGTGGCCACGTCCCATTGGGCACGTCGTCTGCGTCCCACCTCAGACGCAGCTTCCGGCGACCTGCGCAGGATCTACACGGTGGCTGGAGGCGGCAGGCGGCTGCCACGGGCACCGGGCTAAGGCGGCCGGCTGACTCTGGTGCTCGCCGCCGCCT